AATTAATCAAATAGTTTGCTTAATTTGACACTAATAAATAAGGAAACCCATCTTTAAGGTAAAGCAATTTCAGGAACCACAGAAATTGGAAAGTATTCAAATTAAAACCCAGATACTAACAACCTCTTTACAACCATTGAAAGAAAATAACTGAAATAGTTACAAGAACGACCATTATTCACTCAAAAACAAATTTATTATATTTAGAATCTCAATATCATTATTCTCATAAAAATAGACTCACTCTGTAAATAAATAAATAAATAAATAACAACAATCAACAACAATAGAAGTTACAGAATCGTAAATAATCTATATATAGAAAGGCTAGTCTTCTTGTCTTCTTCATCTTCACAATGTCAAGCTTTGTCTTATACCTTGACTACATTAGCCATAGCCACCTTTCATGTATCAGGAATGGTGTAAATAGATAACTGTCAGTGTCCTCTCATTTTCACTTCTTCTTGTCTACAATAGCCACCTTTCTTGTATCACAGAGGGCAGCCAGATCATTGGATTGTCCACCAGCCAATCAGAGCCCTCCTGTGAAAGGCGGAAAACATTATGTCTTTGTGTTCACAAACTTTCTGTCCAGGGCTCTGATTAGTTGTACTGGTTAGCGTACAAGAAAGAATGGTGGCTATTACAGTCAAGGTATAAGTACAAAGCTTTTAATAGCCTGACATTGTGCAGAGAGTCTTCTTATATTTTTTGGTTTAAAAGATTTTACCCAAAAATGGAAATCATATTATCCAAGCATTTCTTTCACATCTGGTCTTATCCTTGCTAAAAATATTCATATTATGTCCTGAAAAGTAAAAAAAAAAAATTAAGTATACATGGAAGATTTGGTAAACAAATTGGTGATCAATTAAATTATTATTATTATAAAATCTTAAAAAACAAACAAAATTCAAATCAACTTATCTCCCTTTACCCAAATTGTGCAGAGAAATTTCCAGATAAAGTTAGGGTAAGGACCAGCAAGTTTCAGATTAGCTGACAGAGCTATCAAATAAGCTAAGATTGTTTTCTGCCTCTCATTTCAAAATTGTAAAAATGTATTGACAACTGAATATAAGTACTGTATTAAAATAGCTATCATCAACTATTAATACTGATCGATAAACTAAATAACCAGTAGAACTATCAACAATTAGTTGTATATAATCACAGTGTAAAAAGATATCAGTTCAATTTCAGCTATCAGAAATGAAATGAGTTTTACGTCCTACTCTTCTGCACCATGTGGGCTAATGAAGACGGGCAACGCCATGCAGGGTGCAATGAGGGAAATTTTGCCAGGACAGCGGCATTAGTCAGCTCTTTTTCTATTTCCAACTGTCGAGGGATCTGTAACGTGCACAACCTGTGCCACACTTCAGCTATCAGAGGTTGGGTAAGACTCAGTATATTACGAACTTAATAACCACAAAAACTGTTATTAGTTGTATAAAAATATATAAAAAGAGATAAGTTCAATGTCAACTATATATAGAATAAGTTAAAATGTTATTATTTTCAATAGATCAATAAGTCTTGATGGAATCAGGTAATCAATGTTTAATTGACATTCTCTGTATGTTATCATCAAGTTTATTTATAAAATAAAACTCCATTAATCTGTTGATTAGTCCTCGAAATATCTCTTTAAGGTTTGTTGGAATATGTACCGTAACTGTTTTTCATTGACTTTTTTTGTTTGATAGTCAAGATACCCTACCACTGATAGAGAAATCATAATGAAGCAGTATCAATCCTTGGACAATGCTTTTGTGGATTGATCAATCTCTGCTGAACTGAAGAAGGTTTTGTTGGGGCTTAATGCTCAATTGCTGGGGCCCCAGCACCCATGGACCCCACCCTAACAACTGGGCTGTCTCAATGATATGAAAATACTATCTAAACTTTATTAGTCCTTGGACAGTGTTTTTGTGAACTGATCTTTGTTAGTTTGGATCTTTTCCCAGCAGTGATTGTCACTACAAGTCAATAAGTACTATAAAATGTTCTCATTGACTTTGTTTGTCTGCTACTCAAGGTCCCCACTGTAAAAATACCAGTTTGAAACGGTTGACTTATTTTAAGATATTTATTGATTTTTTATAATTGTTTTAAAGAATCGCTGCTTGCTGTCAATAACCGATTCCATTGTGGTTTGAAAATAATATGATTTTTTAAGTCAGCAGGTTTTTTTACAGGAATTAAATAGATTCTTAACACATTCATCCGTTAATCAATACATCAAGATAGAATGGATAGGTAAGCCAGGTGTATACACTTTCTGCCTAGTGAACTGCACTCTTCAAGCTAGCCTAGGTACACCTAATTTATGCCACAGATTATTTCTTTTGAGAAAATCAGTAAACAAAATTCTAAAATACCAATGTTAGAAAAACCAATTTAGCAATTTTTTTGTATAAGTAAAACTAATAATATTTTTTTTTAAGGACTTGATAAACAAACTATATAAAGCACCTAAACTGGAATCTTGCCAGAGAAAAAAATCATTTAGCATTCAAGAGAAACAATTAAATCATTGAAAAGCTCTTCTGATCGTCTTGAACAAGTTATTTGAAGTATAAGTATTGAACAATTATCTATATTCAACTAAGCGTCTAATACGAAAACCATTGAGAAGACAAACTAATATTTTTATAATTATAGCTACTTCGAGTTCTACTAGAAACTTGTTTACTGTCACACAATCAGCAATCATAGAGAACTTGTTGCATAAACCGCCCCCAGATCCATTCCCTTGTTTTAATAGCAGATATATTTTTTTGCAAATCTTAGTAGTCCTGGAGTCTATTGAGAATATAATTAATATGTTCATAATTATAAAACTTGTCTGGTAATTAGAGCTTCTACATGTACTACTTCAGTCAAAAACAGAAACAGAGGAATTTTGCATATGAGACTATTTATGAGACTATATATAAGATATATACAAGATATATACAAGATATATACGGGATATATATGAGATATATACAAGATATATACAAGATATATACGAGGTATATATGAGATATATAGGAGACTATATATGAGACTATATACGAGACTATAAATGTGACTATATATGAGACTATATATATATGAGACTATATATGAGACTATATATATATGAGACTATATATGGAACTATATATGAGACTATATTTGAGACTATATATGAGAATCAAAACCTGAACTGGAGCAAGAGGCAGGGTTCAATTTAAGCGATGACCCCTTTTACAATCCAACATTTCTTTTGTATTACTTTAAATATAAAATACAGAACTCACTAATTACCTGTCATGATCAAATTGTTAATCTTTCATCAGTGATTCTTTCGGGAAACTTTCTTCCTTCAAACTGGCCAACTCATTGGAACTGGCCGACCCCAGCAGGGATTTCTGACTATCAGACGTATCATGGCGCTGATGACCTTTCTTGGACGGAATGACATTGGAATCAGATTTTGGTTCATTGGCCATTTTGGATGGAATGTTAAAAGTTTCTCCTAAATTTCTGACTTCTGTAGATTTTGATTTTTTCTGGGCACTCCTTGGAGGTTTGTGGGTCACAATATGTGGTGAAATTGAGCAGTTCTTTTCGTCCAATAAAGTTTTATTAGAATTAGTCACATGATCAAATTTTGAATGTTTGTCTTCCATTTGCAATTCTAAGAATGAAAATCCACGAGATTTCGAGTCACGTTTTACACGCTGGGACACACTGAGATACTCATTTGATGTGTTTTCTTCATCAAGGTCGTCTAACTCTTTTGATGTTTGCGATTCGGAAATTTTATTTTCCTTTGTGTCCTGTTTGTTAGATACAGTCTCGATGTTCTTTTGGACGGAATTTTCCATTTTTTCAGTAGATTGGTTTTGAGCACTATTTTCACCAGCTGGGCTCACACTCACAGAACGAACTGCCCAAGTTTTATTTAGATTCAATGAATTTTTGAAATTTGATTTCCAACCTTTCAGATTTATTTTATCATTAAATGTCTGTCGGAGCGAAGGGCTCGATACGCTGAGATCAAGTCCAGAATCAGCAGCGAAAGATTTCTTGGCATCCTTCAACGAAACAATATGAGATGTCTTTGATTTACAGACTTCTGGTTGTGAAATGGAGCGTTGTGTAAGTAGATCTTGGGTCGCTTGCTTCATTGAAACTGGTTGAGACGACGAGTAAACTTCTGTCTCTCCACACGAATCGTAATCGCTCGTGTCCTGACGCCAATAATCCAGTTCTGGGGGTCCCACAACATCACAATGTTTTCCTTTTGGAATCACCCTCAACTCGCTTTCTTTAACTTCGATAATATCGTTCTCTGATTTTGATCTGGGGCTGTTCTCACTCTCATTTGTTTCGATATGAATTCCGTCTGAGGTAGCAAATAACACTGGGACATTAAATACTTGATTTGTTGTTGCCTTGGCAACAGGACCACGCATCACATGACCATTTCCTGCTGACTTCTTTTTCACAGTCTTTTTATTTTTGGTATTTTTCGTTGCACGGACATCTGCGATGGAGTTGCTACGACGACACAGTAATATATCCTTTAGGTTTGACCACAAAAATTTCATGAGTAAAAAAGTTAAGATTGGAAAAGCAGCAGAAAAAAAGAATCGTAAATATAGAAATGTCACGTCAAGAGTCCAAGG